AAGCCATACACTGAAGTAGTCTCACCTACAGGGGAGGACAGTGCAAAATATGAGGAGTACTGTACCGCAATCAACCTCATAACGGGTGGCATAAAGATCATCAAATCTAGCCAAGAAAACCTTCAAACCTTGGTGGATAAATTAGAAAAAGCGTACGAAGAGTCCAAATCCAAAGGGAATAAAAAGGACCTCGTTAGCGAGATCGAAGAAATCGATCAATATTGTCAATTCAGCGAAAAGATAGCTGGTGCAAATGACATTATCTTCGTCCTACAAGCACGAATCAACGAATACCGAGACAAAGTGCATAAATTAGCTCTCAAACTCGGGATTGATCGCCAGAAAAGTCAATTAACTGCAACAAATAAGCACATAGAAAATAAGCAAAAGGGCAGTGACAGTCAAGAATCGATAGATACAGAGCTTGCGCTATGGCTATCGGATGACGCGTCAGACAGCTCCTTTGACAGAGAGGATGTCGCCTGTCGCACTCTAAAGCCCAAACAAGTCAATCTGCCACGCTTTTACGGAGACGAAGAGGAGTTTCCTGAGTACTGGGCAATATTTGAGACCCTTGTAAATGGAAACAAGGTACTCAACACCGTCGAAAAAATGCTGCTATTGAAAGACTCGCTAAGAGGTAGAGCAGAGACGGCAATAAAAGGAATACAGCTCATTCCACAAAATTATCAGTGGATGACCGAAGAGCTGAAGAAGAAATTTGGCAATAAGCCATTGAACAGGGCTAAAATTGTTCAGAAACTAACAGACATGAGACCAGCAAACAACTCGGTAGAGAGTTGCACAGCTGCTTATGACAAAATCAGAATGCTGATAAACCAAATGGTGTCAGCAGGTCAAGATATCCGCGCCTCACAGGACGCACTATGGACAGAAAATGTTCTGGAAAAGTTTCCATACAACATAGTGAAAAACGTGCTTATTTCAATTCAAAACAAGGCTGACGTCACAGTCGAAGACGTCATGCAAGAGATAGAAAAAGAGATCACAGCGAAGAGGTTCGTTGACTCTAGGCTCAAAAACAGGTCCAAATTCGAAGAGACCAAAAAGAAAGAGTTCCAACCAAAAGATGATATTAAGAAGCCTATCAAAAGCTGTGTCTTTTGTAATCAGGTCAATCATCCAACGGCGTACTGTAGAAATACAGACGTCCAAGCTAAAAGGCGTATTGTAAGTGAAAGAAAACTTTGTTGGAAGTGCTTCTCCACAAATCACAATAGTTTCAGCTGTTCATTGTCTAATGTCCCACAATGCGGAGACAAACACCATACACAAAAGTTATGGCATCTTGGACTAGCGTGACCTCACAAGCAAAGGATGCCGTCGCACACAGCGCCGTCCATCTGGCGGTAATAAATTAACCCCTCAGCGTTCCACAACGGACAACCGACCTCGCGCAGACCGATGGCGCAATCAACAAGGCGACGACCGCCATAACTCAAACCAGGCTAATATACACACATCAAAAAGAAGCGGGCGCCTAGACGTAAAAACAATACGTCAAGAACATGTGCGGCCGAACACAAAGTAACAAAATAGTGCTTTATGACGGGCCTGCCGCGCAAGCATCTGGAATCCACAAATGCCACAAAAATTTGAACACTGACTATCGTTCTTCGCATTCAGGTGCTCAGAAATGCCATAAGTCTAATTGAACGAAAATCGCTCAGAGTTCGGTCTTCCAACCAGGAAAACTGAAACTTGCACAATGTCAGGAATTGGAGGACACATTGAGAAATTCCAAAGCAAATATGTCAATCTGAGAATAAGCGACGCTTATGGAGAAGAATTGAGCTTGAAGCTCACACTAAACCCGTTATCACAAACGGTTTTCCATCAGTTAAATTAACACATTTAGCAAAAAGAGTTTTTACCAGGTAAAGGTCAACGGTCAGGCTGGGCCATTTGGCAATGAGCGTGCACCCATCTCTTACTCGTCTTGCAGACGGTTGAATTCGAAACAGTCGGTCACAAAATTTGCAGAACGATCCTCTGAGCGAAGTTATGGAGGTTTTTTTACTGTTTTTCTTCTTCCGGGCGCGCTGGCGCCGAAGTGCTGGCACCTGTAGCGGGGACTCACGGTGAGCTTTCCGCACATATAGGTGTCATTTCGTTTCAGGACGGGTCAAATAACCCATGGGGACGGCAGCCCGGCGAAATCTGAGGTTCTGACTCAGCTTTGAAAAAATGGGGTATGGATAGTCATGGCTGACTGATTGCCACCAGCGATACCACGACTAGCATACTGATGATCGGACCTGTTCCGCACTGAATATGCTCTTACAGACATGTCTTTCAGCACCTGGCCCACTGATTCGTGCAGTTTGCATCATTTTCCTGATTAACGGTAGGAAATTCCATCTCGAGACCAGTAACTGATGGTGGGTGAACCCAGCCTACGGCCAAAGTCACCCCAGTAGGGCATAGCCCACATTTTCCAAGTTAGGTCGAAGTATCAGATTCGGCTTGGAACTTCTCCCCAGGGGTAATTTGACCCGCTGAACATGAATATCATGGTAGTTTCAGCTGGCAAACAACGCTCTGTGACATGAGTTCGACAGTGGCGACAAGCCACAAAAACATGCTAGCTTTCAGGCACAAGGATCTACCACTTTCCAAAAAAAAACTTGATTGAGGTACTTTTACTAGGATAGGGAGGAAGAGCAGAGATCTTAGAAGGCATTCTGTCAACCGTGTCTCTTGGCCAAATGCCAAAAGGCAACAGAGCCCGCGGCTGAGGAACATACCGACTGACGACGACGTCCGACTAGCGAAACCCACGACCCGTCCGCTATCCGTTGCGCTCTCTACTGCCACGTGTCGTGAAGACTCCATTCATTAATGTGAAGACGCTTCCACGTTTCGTCGCGATAGCATGTAAAACAAACTACGAGGGGAGAAATCCCTCCATAACTTCGCTCAGAGGGTGTTACTGCGCAAATTCTGAAAGACTGTTTTGAACGTTCCACCCGTCTCAAGACGATTACATACGGTGTGCATTTCATGAATGGCCACAGGCTGACCTGTTTGACCTTCCTGTTTAGACAAGAAGCCGTAATTCAAGTGTGAACCACGAAGCGTCTCGCCGGGAGAGCTAATTCGCTCCTCCAGTATATTGGTCGATCTAGAAATCACTATACGACTTGGTAATAGACAAGTTCAAAACCCGCACAACTTCATCTGGACTGCGCATTTGGCCAAAACGCGGTCTCTTGGCCGATCCTCCTTCATGTCGTGGCAGCATTAAGATAACGATCGTGAAAGAGGAACCAGGTTCCCAGCCTGTATGAATACGGCCTGACAGCCGTCTTCGACTGCAATGAAAACGAAATTTTACGCAACCTGTTCGAACTCGAAGGACTGGGTATATCATCCGATGAAAGCACATCGGATGACAAGGCGGAAAACTATTTCGCCTCGTTTTCGAAGATGATATCCTTTGAAAACGGCCACATAACGGCTCCATTTCCTCTCAAGGACAGTATAAGTGAGCTATGCGATAATTACGCAATCGCCATACGGCGTCTTTCCGCATTACAGTACCAGCTAGTTAACAACTTTGAAATAAAAAAGTGGTACTGCAGGATTATTGATAGTTACATCAAAGATGATGTCATAGAAGAAGTGAAAAACCCTGGAGTATGCTCCATAGCAAAATATTATATGCCACATTCTGGAGTCTGGAGACCTGAGAAAGCAAAACCGCTCCGAATAGTGTTTGACGCTTCGTCAAAAGGGAAAGGAAAGAAATCGCTGAATGACATGATCTTCAAAGGCGAATCTTTCATTAATAAAATCCACAACATCCTAATATCTAGCAGGGTCAAACCAATAATAATATTGTGCGACATAGAAGCAGCATTCACACAAATACGCATTGCTGAGCAGCACAGAGACCTCTGCCGCTTTTTGTGGCTGAAAGACGTTACACGTCCAGCTACAAAAAATAACATAACAGAATACCGTTTCAAAAGGCTACCATTCGGGATAAACGCGTCCCCAAGCATACTAAACATGGCAATAATGACATATCTCTCGAGCCTAAATGACGAATTAGCCGGAGAAATTGCTCAAAATCTCTATGTAGACAACATTCTGCTATCAGCCTCGACAGTAGAAGAAGCCATATCCAAATACGGAAAGTCGAAGGAACTGTTTGCCAAAATCGGAATGAATCTCAGAGAATATGTGTCAAATAACGACGCAGTTAACGAAGCTATTCCAGCGAAGGATAGAAGCCCCGCAGGGAAAATCAAATTCCTAGGAGTTCCTTATAACACGCGAACCGATGAGTTTTCCGTGGATATAAAAGTATGCACAAAGGAAAAGTTGACAAAACGGGACATAGTCAGTCAACTGAACTCAATTTATGATCCTATAGGGTTGGCCGCACCTCTGCTCATAAAGCTCAAGCACCTAATGAGGGAAATTTACGCATGTAATCTAGAATGGAAAGATGAGATACCGCCGGACCTTGGCAGGCGATGGGTCAAGGCATGCCATGATATCAATAACATCTCCGTAATTATACCTCGCACCTCAGAACGAGTGCCCTCTGGTTATAGCCTGTGGACATTTTGCGACGCCAGCGAGATAGCGTTGGCGACCTGCTCCTATTTACGATCAGATAATACGTGCGAATTAAGTACTCTGATCAGTGGAAAGACGAAACTAGCTCCAAAGAAGAACAAACAAACGATCCCAAGACTCGAGCTACTAGCCTTACTTATGGGAACCAGACTGAGTACTAGCATTACTAGCAGTATCCCGAACGCAATTAGAGAAGTCAACGTAGTTACAGACTCGAAGGTAGCACTTGCCTGGATCAAGACAGCAAGAAAACTACCGTTATTTGTTTCGAATCAAAGAGACCGAATCGCCAAGCTGGTAAATCAGTTGAAATTGAAGAATATTACAGTAAACTTCTACTATATACCAACCGCAGAAAATCCCGCTGATGTAGGAACGCGGGGGCTGTCAGCTGCTAATATCTGCACCCATAGCTGGATTAGAGGTCCAAAGTGGCTTGCAGAGAGTCAGAGTCATTGGCCTCTAATATCGATTAACGGTATGCCGAACGATATCGTAGAAGAGGCTGCTAACGAGACATTGGTAGCAAACGTCGAAATAGGCGAAAATCAAGGCGAAAACGAAATTAAACAAATTATAGACCTGAAAAGGTTCTCAAAACTTTCGAGAGCGCTCAGAACCATAGCCAGGGTGGGAAAGGCCTCAAAAAATGGATCATGAAGACTAACAATGGCCGTTCTACCAACATTCAAATAGAACTCATCGATCAATTCGGTTCTGAGCCACAGATCGACGCTAATGACATCTTCATAGCCGAGCGCGTCATAATCCTCCAAGAGCAGAGCGCTTGCGACATGTCGGATCTCCAAAAGAGACATCCACAGAA